GCATGGGAAATATGGAGGAACTTTGATTGGGCAAAGGGGAAATAGGGGAGGGGAAGGGGCACTGGGGGCAGGAAAGATGATGGAATGAGATGGACATCATTACCCTTGGTACACAAATGACTGCACATATGATGCGATGCTACATTGTGTACAACCGTAGAAATGTAAAGTTGTGCTGCAGTTATGTCAGATGAATCAAAATGCATTCTGCTGTCATATATATCTAATTAAAATAAATTAATTAATTTTTTAAAAAGATGAAATTCACAGTGATATTGTTGTGGTTTGGACATGAGGTATCCTCCACAATCTCATGTTGACAAAATGCAAGAGAATTCCAAACCACAACATCACTGTGAATTTCATTGTTAAGAGTTGTAACCTAGTCAGTGCATTAGTTCACTGATATAAAATAACCTGGTGGTAATTGTCAGTAGATAGTAAGATGTAGCTAGAAGAGGTGGGTCATTAGGGGTGTGCCTTTGGGGTTTATATTTTGTCCCTGGTGAGCAGAGCTCTCTCTGCTTCCTGATTGCTAGGTTTTGTGCTTTCCTCTTCCATACTTTTCTTCCATGAGGTTCTGCCTAACCTTGGATCCAGAACAATGAAGTTGGTCCTCTATGGACTAAGACCTCTGAAATTGAGTGTCAAATAAAATTTTCCTCCACTAAAATTGTTCTTGTCTGGTCTTTTGACCATAGTGTCAATAAAACTGACTAAAAGAGGTATATTTATACATGCACATAGAGTAATTTTGCCAAATTAATTTTACATTTCCTCATATTTCCTGTCTTTCCTTCTTCCCTGGTGCTTTCATTTCTACTTTTTAAAGGAATCTTTGTACTGCTTTCCAGAGTGACTGTACTAATTTGCAGATTCACAGGCAATGTATGAGTGTACCTTTTCTTCCATATCCTTACCAGTATCTATTATTATTTATATTCTTGATGATTACCATTTTTTACTTTAATGAGATAAAATCTCAATGTAGTTTTTATTTGCATTTGCTTAATTGCTAAAGATGTTGAACACTTTCATATATTTGTTGACCACTTGTATTTCTTCTTTTGAGAAATATGTTTAGTTTGTTTGTCCATTTACTAATATGTGTGTGTGTGTGTGTGTGTGTGTGTGTGTGTATGAAGCTTTTAAAATTCTTTATGTATTTTGGATATTAATCCCCTGTCAAAAGAGCAGCTGGCAAAGATTTTCTCTCTTTCTATAAGTTCTCTCTTCATGCTTTGATCATTTTCCTTGCTGTGAAGAAGATTTTAAACTTAATTCCATCTTGCTTGTTGATTCTTCACTTTATTTCTTGAAATTTAGGGGTCTTGTTAAGGAATTTGGGGCCTGCACCAATATGTTGGAGTATTAGCTTCCTGTTTTCTTCTACTAGTCACAGAGTTTCTGGTTTGATTCCTACCATTGATCAACTTTGGTATGACTTTTGTACATGGTGAAAGAGAGTGATCTAGCTTCATTCTTCTACTTCTGGATATTTGGTTTTCCAACCACAGTAAAAACACTATCTTTCCTCCAACATATATTTTTGATCCTTTTGTTAAATATTAACTAACTGTAACTATGTGGGTTTGTCTCTGTGTCTTCTATTCTGTTGTATTGATCTACTTTGATGACAATACCATGCTATTTATTTTAGAGACAGGGTCTCACTGAGTTGTTCAGTGCTTGCTTTTGCTGAACTGGCTATGAATTTAGGATGCTCCTGCCTCAGCCTCCCAAACTACTGGGATTATAGGTCTGAGCCACTCCACCTGGCTTGTGAGGCTAATTTTAAAAACTATGGATTTCTTAATGTAGTGGAAGAAATTTCTAGGCAGCATAGCATTCAGGCATTGGCATGAATATTGCTGGCAGCTTTTAGCCAAATTTATTGTGATAATCAGGAGTAGAAAGCAGAGCAGAAAGATTTGGAAAGCACAGACTTGAAAGGCTAGAGTAAAAGTAGGGTAAGGAAGTTTCAGTTGTTAAAGACAGTACTGCTACTAAAGAAATGCTAAAGACTTTGCACAGAGACAATAAGAACGATGGCTCCAGGGCATCTCAGGCACTTGCAGGACTTCACCCATCTCAGGCTCAAGGGTATAAAAGTAAAAGTTCTTTTAAGAAGAGGATGCTGGGGAACTCTGTTTGCATAGGGAAACAGGAGGCTGTTTCACCAAGTGCAGCTGCCCAGGTGTTCAGAGGCTGCTACAGCCATGTTTCCAGGAGGCTTGGCTGCTCCTTGAAATGGTAGCGGACTTCAGCATCAACCACATGGTGCTAGTTCTGCAAGAATGCAGGATGCTGGAGTTAGGAGATAACAGAGGCTTCCATCAAGATTTCAAAGGAAGGTCTGGGAGGCCAGGCAAAATACAGCAGGCAGCCCCTGAGAGGATGATGCACAAAGATATGAGAAGCCAAAGTAGCAGTGGAGACCCCTGAGAATAAGAGATGATAATAATGTTGAATTTCTTCCAAGAAAAGCTGCAGGAATCAAGCAGAAACAGCCAAGAGAGAGGCCATGAGGACTACAATCAGCAAGGCCATAGGACAGAGCTATAGAAGTCCTTTGAGAGAAATTCATAATGTTCCAGATGCTGAATATGGAGCTACAGAACTTTGCCCAGCTGGATTTTGGTCTTGCTTTTGCCCCATCCCTTTTTCCATTTTTGTGTCTCCAATTTTGTGAATGGAAATGTTTACTCAGTACCATTATATGTTGGATAATTGTAAATTGCTTTTAATTTTACAGGAGCTCACAAAGGCAAGATTGTGTAGTTCTGCAGTAGAATGCCCAACCCCAATCTGCTTGAGGTGCTAGGCTCAAGGTCACCCTCCACTCAGGGAAGAAAACAAACAACAATAAATACAATAAAAACTCACAACATAAAATCAAATCAGATATAGGAATACAGTAACAATAAATTTAAAAACTATAAGAACTATATTAATGATAGCTGTAGAAAAGAAAGGGGTAAAAATATAATAAATTAAAAAAGTTAAAAATAAAGAATAAAATTACTTTTATAAAAGGGGAAAATGATAAAATAGAGAGAAAAACATACTATTACAGTATAATATAAAAATTAAAACTAAGGAAAAATAATGAAAAATAACACAATAATAGATGATAGAATCAATGGAGTAAATAGAAAAAGAATGAAAGGTAAAAGAAGTGTCGAAAATTTCTCCTGAGATGTTCAGTTTGGAGACACTTCTTTCCAAGCACGCATACACTAGTTCCAGAAGCCCTTTGGTCTGCATGCTCAGGGGTGGGTTAATCTCTAGCCACAGCAAGCCTTTCTCTCTGGCCTAGCTTTGGCATTATGTGGTCATGCCAGGCTCATGCTAGACAGATCAATATTAAGGATAACAGATTTTAGTCTGGACACTGGAACACAATATCTGATCTACATCAAGACCTTGTTAGGTATGTTAGCTGTGCTGGGCAGGCCTATTTTCAACTCTGTGGACTTGAGTCTATGCACTTGGGAGCATGGTCAACATCCAAGCAGAAGAAAGCCTTTCTAATTTTTGGCATTATAAGTGTGGCATAGTGAAGCCAGAATTAGGCAGATAGGCAAGGGTCAGATCCAGAGAATGGAAGGATTGAAATGTTAATTCCTTCTGAGCCCTTCCTCCACCCTTATCAAGAACCTGCCCCTGGTCCAACCTGTTGCTAAGGTAACCAGTCCCAGGAATTGCCCCTCCCTATAGGGAATTGTAAGTTGTTAATTAATGTGTCCTGGGCTGCTCCAACCAGCCCTTTCCCTGTCCATATGCTTCTCACCTTTTGTCCATCCCACAGAGCATCTCCTGGGCCTAGTCATCTACTCAGGAAGGAGAGAGATAAGAGGAAGAGACAGGAAAACAAAGAAAGGATAGGACATATAAAAAGGCAAAACACCATCGCTTATTGGGATACTATGACCCCCTTCTCCTTCCTGGGAGAAGTCTATGTTACCCCTTTTCAAATAAACCCTGCTTTATATGTGTGCCTTGGCGAGCTTTTCTAATATTATACTTCAATATGAGAGGAAGCCGACTTCGTCACTGGTAACCCATATTATCAATAGGACAGGCATATATTCAGCCTCACAGACTTCAGCATGTGCAAGGGAGGCATGGCAAATATCCAAGCCATATTATACATTCATGATGCCTCAGTGCATGTGTGGTGGGACAGTCAAAAACTGGGTTCTGCCCAAGCAGGGAGGCACACAAGCCAGAACATTTTGCTACCCTCATCCTAATGCTCTAACTTAGGTCCTTGCCACACCACCTGAGACTGGTCTTGCTCCAGTGGTGAGTATACACAAAAACTCCAAATTGTAATGTTTCCAAGTTTTCTGCTTCCCAGAACAGCCTGGTTCCTAACAATAGGAACCCTCTCAAGGTGACTTCTGGTTATAGCAATGAGAATTTGCTATGTATTAACTTTCTCCTCCCGAGCGAGCTAGCAAATCCCCAAATTTAAAGCTTGCAGAAACCATGGATTTCGCCTGCAATTAAGAAGGCTGTAGCTAATACTGGGTCTAAATGCACTTCCACCTATCCTATGCTTGTGATGCCGACTTGCACTGTACTATTCTGTTTCCTTTCTAATTCTTCACACTGTTTAGATTTCCCATCACTCCTCTATTGGTCCTTAGACTTTTCCCTCCATTTCTCTCCTTGGTTCTTATCCCTCAGAGTCACACAAAGGGAATTTTTATTCCCCTATGTTCTTTTTTTCTCCCCTGCCCTACTTTTTTTTTTTTCCTTTTCAGTGCTGGGGAGCTTGGGATAAAACCCAGGACCTCACACATGCTAGGCAAATGCTTTACCATAGTGCTATATCCCTGGCCTTCATATCAAAATTTTACATCTTCCAAATATGAAAAAGTTTTAATAAGAATTTTGTACCTTTGCTTGTCAACACATCAATTCTAAATGGGATAAAATCTTAAATTTGGATTTTTTTCCATGTGGCAAAACATATTAAAATTATACATCACTCAAAACAGAAAATAAATATTTTAATGTACTGTTACATTCATTTCCATTAGAATATATTTATGGAACTTACACCATACCATTTTTAATTGGCTATTCTTTCTATTTACATGTAGTTTTTTACCTCTCAGAGGTTAGCAATTTAGGAATAATTATTAAAATAATAATTTACTTACATATTGGTTTTCTCCAAGTGCAGGATTAAATATCAGATACTAAATTTATAACCACATTTGTCAACACTTTATATTTTACCTTCTTATACTAACATTAGGAGGAAATCCTTGGTTTTACAATGTAATGTTAGAATGTGCAAGTATTAAAAGTTCATTAGAGTAAAACTGAACCTCAAGTCATTATGTCATAATAACCAAGGCACATCATTTTACATAGTTTTGTAACTGCAACATTATTATATACATAAATGTCCTATGTAAGTCTTAATTTGGCTTATGATATCAATTAGCTAAAAAATTATTCATTAGCAAAATAAAGCTTTGAGAAAGTTATCTTATTTAAGTTAAATACATTTTAGTACTGTATGTAAAGTTTTAATATTTGGTAAGGAAAATTTATTCTTATCATCCCTTCTTTTAATTTATTCTACATACATTTTTGGTAATAGCTTCTATTTCCTATTACAGGGAGAATCTTGCCCTGGGTTATACAGTACAGTGGGTTATAATTATTTATGTAACTTTTATCAATTAATTAAACTTAACTTTCATGATATCCTTTTATTTATCTATAAAATAAGGGCAATGAAATACATATATTACCTCTAAGATCTCTTCCAATTCTAAAATACAATAGTAAAGAGCCAAATTATATAAATTTGTACATTTATAAAAATGTACCTCTTAAAATGATTTCAAAATAGCCTTGTAAAATATGAATTTCTATTTTGCAAAACTGTCAACCACAATTTACTTTCTTACTCAGTTCTAAAATATACTTACTTTATCAAGTCTCCTTAGAATATGTTGAAATAATGTCAAAACCAAGAAGTTGTATTTGAGCATTATAAACATTGTTGGTAATGATTATATAATTTTTTGGTTAACACAGATACAGCCCTCATTATGAAATGAAATAAAGTCAGTGTTTTTAACTGAATATGTAACTATACCTGGAATTTATTAAATATCTTACCTTTGAGGACAATTCTTTTTAAATATGTTTAATTTCAGTGAAAAAGCAAAGAATTTTGATTAAGAACAACTTTGGGTATAAATAATATATAAACAGGTGTATTTTAACTTTAGGTTTAAGGAAGGGTCCTAGACAATGGTATGTTCTCTTGTTAGCTCTCCTTCCATTAAGTATGGTATCCTAAGATCACCTGTAGAGTTATTTATCAAAAAATTCTTAACACTGGTCAAATTAGACTAGGAGCAACACTATAATAGCACCACTGCTAGAACAAGAGAACCAGAAGGAAAGAATAAGTGGAACTGCAATGAGAAAATGAGGGAAAATCAGATACTGGTAACTTAAAGGACCTTTACAATAATGAAAAGACTGAAAAATCAATTCAGGCTCAAAATTCACTAAGATTATTTTGTTTCAGTTTTCAAATAAGGAATTTTAATGAGCAATCTAATGCTTATAAGAGGCACTATAATTCAGGCTTACTCACATTTCTATATAACATAATTTTTCTTATTAGAAATACGGTTTTGTGAGAAAAAAATTGTGAAGCAAACTACCCGAAAATTCAAAGGTTGACCCAAATGTAACACAATCCTGAGGCAATGTTGTAATTTATAAAAATATGATTTCTGTGGTTAACTATGGAAAGAACACTTTGAAATATTTTGAAAGCCCAATATGGCATTTCATGTTATTACATTCCAAAAAGCATTGAGTATTTCTAATCTCACATAAGGAGTAAGTGGCATTAGAAATTAAATAACACTCAAACAAAGAATATTTCTTTGATTTAGAGATTGGGATTCATTCCAATCCAGTGTTTGATTAGTTGATGTGCAATAGCTCGGCTTGGTGGCACAAAGAATGCCTGTTGCTTCCCTTTGGTCAGAACATCCACAACCTAAAATAAAGCACAATAAAATGCATTAGGATTTTAACACTGTAGCAGTTAAATACTATTTCCATGTTTATATAATGCAACCAAAATGTGATGAGTTTTGTAGTGACAAAAATAGTAGAATGTGACACCTATTCTCAACATGCACAATTTAGTATGCGTGTTGAGAATAGATGTCACATTCTACTATATTAAAATTTAGTATAGCATTTTTAATTGCTTCACTGAATAGTTTTTCAATTTATAATGTTCCAGAAAGGCACAGTTCCTTATGAAAATGAAGTTATGAAAAAACAACTTGTGCTTCATACTTAATTTCAAAATGAAGTCAACCTTTGGGACTGTTTCCCTTCCCTTTTCTAAAGTTTCAAAACAATAAGCCATTCTCTACCTTTTGGGGTTAAGTATAAAATAAAATTAATTTTATGTGGACAAAATTAGAAAGCATTTCAGGTCTACTATTGCAGAATGCTCATTTGCTTATTTGTTTCTTTTCTTTTTTAATATTTTTTTAGTTGTTGATAGACCTTTATTTTATTTATTTATTTATATGTGGTGTTGAGAATCGAACCCAATTGCCTCACACATGCCAAGCAAGTTCACTACTGCTGAGCCACAACCCAGTCCTCCATTTGTTTCTTAAACAAATGCTTTGTTATATGCAAAACACAGAAAAGTAACATCTTTCATTATAGTATTAGAGATGCTTTAAAAAGATTTTGGAAGTGTATATTTGTTATATACAGTTATATCCTTTTTGTCCTTCAGTATATTTCAAAATAGTTTTCAAAAGCTTTAAGCATTTTTACTGATATTTTTTGAGGCCTACTTATTTTATGCTATGAACTAAAATTAAAATATCTGAGAATATATTCTTGTTTCTTATCTCTGAGCTAATGTTTATGTACATTAAGTCCAGTGAAAGGTGTTATCATTAATTAGAAGGAATCATATCTGAAATTTGAAATGACATGGAATCATCATTACTAGAAAAATCACACAGAGTAAGTTAAAATAGGATACATTAGTGAAATGTATCCTATATGCAATTATCAATTAGATTGTAATCCATGCATAACAAGAAAGTATAGATCCATTTAGCTTGTTGAAAATATGCTTCTTTGCTGCATGCCCAACCAATACTGTCAGGGAACAATCAATAGGAGGAGGAAATTAAATTGAACTTTACCTGTTCTCTAGTGAACCAGCGGGCATCCTCTATTTCATTCTTGTCAACTTTAATTTCTGTAGACACTGCCACAGCTAAACAACCAATCATTAAGGAAGACGGCATTGGCCATGGTTGACAAGAGACATACTGAACATGGCCAACTTTGACTCCACTTTCCTCTTCTACTTCTCTCCGAACAGCATCTTCTATTGTTTCCCCTAATCAAATGGAGCAAAAGAACAAGTTGCTGATGAACATGCTCTGGACATTTTGTGCTCCAAATGGTGCAAACATTTGAAATGCACTTTGAGGAAAAACCCAATTGAAAGATTGCTAATATTAGACTGGAAGTGCAAAATTAAAAAAAACAAAACAACTCCTTTATTTTTAAAAGTATATGCCCACGTATAGACTATCAAACTGTCAATAAAAACTTTACATTTGTTGTCAGTTACATTTTACAAATAATAATTATAAAGTCTAAACCTATACATCACCTACTGTTAGCTAAGCATTATGCAAACATATTATCTCATTTATAGATTATCACCAAATAGTTCCAAATTATCTTTTATGACTTTTACAAATAGTTCTTTCTTTATTAAAATCTTAAAACTTTAAAAAAAAGTTGTCAAACAATTACTGCAGAGAACTTTTTTCATCTCATTATACAAAAGATAAAATTCAATATTTTGTTGACTTGACTATCATAAAATAAAATGATGCCTATAAATGTCCTTTATATTTCTGGAATTTATTGAAATTGAGAAGTATAACAGGAAAAAAAAGCTTTTATTAATTTATTTAAAATTTATCTGTAAGTTTAGAAGTTTTTTGTTACATATAGTAGTATTTAGCTTTCTATTTCAATACATTAATAAATCTACACAAAATTTACAAACATTTATCAAAAGAAAATACAGTTTTGGAGTAATACAAGATATCTGTAATATCATAACCATCAGAATTTAACACATAATACATATTTAAAGACTACTAAAATCAATAAGGAAAAAGGATAAGCAACCAAAAAAATAGGCTATAAAAATCTAAAATGAAAAAAATGGATGTATATGCACATTTGAAAAAAAATGCTGCATTAGCAGAGAAACAGAAATGCAAACAATGGCATACTATTTCATACCCTTGAAAATGAAAATCCTAACTTGGTGAAGATGTGGAATAATGGAACATTTCATCTGCTAATGGTGGGAGTATAAATTGGCAGCAATCCTTGGAGAGTAACTTGACAAAGTCTAGAAAAGGTTAAGATGCCATGTATAGCTAGCAATTCTGCTCCATGTATATATTCTATGTAACTCTTACAAGTATGCATTAGAAGTATAAAAAAATTCATTGCAGTCTTGTTCATAATAGTAAGAACCTTGAAATTCACAGCAGAAAGGATGAGTAAATGGTGGCATATTCATATAAATATATATATAGAATGCTACCCAGCAGTTAAAAATTGACCTAATACTAGTGGAAGCATAGTGATTAGGAGCAAAGACTCAGAAGTCAAACTGCTTTGGTTTGAATACTTTTCCTATCACTTACTAGTGATCTGCCTTATTGCTCTCATCTGTAAAATTGCTAGATTAGTACCTACTTTATAAAGATCATATGATTTAATAAACATAAAGCCTCCAGAACAGAGTCTGGTATTACATACTATTATAGTTTGATTTACCATTATTCTTTAGCAGTGTAGATTAATATCAAAAGTTGTGAATAGACATTGATTAATTAATTTATTAACTTAATTCCAAAAATCCTTACTGAGCTCCTAGGATATGTGAAGCATCTGCCTTAATGGTCTGAGATATAGAAAAGAATAAAATAAAGTTCCTATTCTTATGGAATTGACATTCTAGTAAGAGCAGAAAATAAATAAGTAAATATACACATATATTAGGTAATGTAAAGTGCTGTAGGGAAAAATCAAGCAGGATGTTATGGGATTATGAATGTAGGGTATGGGGCCACACTAATACATTAGGGGCAATCACGTAGAGCTTCTCTGCAAAGGTGACAGTTAAGTATAGTACTGAAGGGAGGTGTAAACCATCTAGATAACTTGGCCAAGATCTATATAAAATAGAAAATCTGTGTTTTTAATAAACAAAATTATAATATTAGCAAAAATATGAAATTTATTTCATTTAAATTATATCATTAAAATGATTAAAATATTAAAAAATATACCAGTTTTATAACATGATAATTTGTTAGAGATTATATCTTAAATGCCATCTAAAATTTATTTGGAAATTAAAAATTAAATGAAATTATAAAAATTATTCAGAAGAGGCTTACCAGGTTCAATAAATCCAGCAAGACAAGTAAACATGCCTGGGGGAAATCTTTTCTGCCTGCCTAAAAGACATTTGGTCCCATCTGGATGAATAACTTGCATGATTACTACTGGATCTGTTAAAAAAAAATAAAAATATATCAGATACATGAAGGACAGGAAAAAATAATTTAGATTCATTGTGTAAAGTTACTATTTGGCAGGATAACATATATCTTACAGAAACAAGACTCATCATAATTATAAGACTGTTTTTTTCTGCTTTGACGTGGCTGATCAGAGTTTCTTAGAGAAATTTTATAGAATACTGTCAGTATGCTAAAGGAAGATCATTTTTGTCCTCCTTCCCCCAATCTTAGTAACATTTATTTTGTACTTAGGGTAGTCTAGGGATATTATTATTATTATTACTATATATTTTGTAGTTGTAGTTGGACATTTATTTACTTATTTTTATGCGGTGCTTAGGAACCCAGTGCCTTGCACATGCTAGACAAGCACTCTACTGCTGAGCCACAACCCCAGCCCCAGGAATATTATTTTTTAATGAGAAAGAGTAGGTAATACATAGATGGGCATGGGGAAAAATTCAAATCTTACAAATTAATACAGTAAATTTCCCTCTACTTTGTATCCTAATCCTTTACAAATGTTTTTGAAAGCTAATGTGGCTGTATAATTAGGTTTAAATTATTTTTTAAAAAAGTAAATAATAATTCCTCTCTCTAGAAGTCATTGATCTTTACTAGATGATGATTGAGAACAAGGAATTAAATTTAAAAGGCTCTTGAGCAACAAAAACAGATGTCACTAAGTCATGTGTTTTACTCCCTGGAGACTTCCTCAAGTGTTGCTGAATCTGTCTATTTTTCTAGGTTTTCTTTTTTGGGGGGCTGACCAGAGATTAAATTCGGGGGTACTTGGCCACTGAGCCACATCTTCAGCCTTATTTTGTACTTTATTTAGAGACAGGGTCTCAGTCAATTGCTTAGTGCCTGAGGTTGCTAAGGATGGCTTTGAACTGGCAATCCTCCTATCTCAGCCTCTTTAGCTGCTGGGATTACAGGCATACACCACTGTGCCTGGCACTATCTACTCGGTTCTCATGGTTTTAAAGGACTAGGTTATCAGATTTCCAAACCTACAGATACAAAATAGTAATTAGAAGGAAAGAAGGTACAATGGACACTAGAATGAGATGCTAACTCCTGGCTATACTGCTTTGGTAAGGCCTCAAACAGGCACTGAATTTTTTTTTTTTTTTTTCCTCTCTCCATAAAGGAGTCAGACTGGCTGACTTTTGAAATCATGAATTTCACATCAAATTCAAAATGATTAACAAAATTAAATGATTAATTATGTATCATGTTATCATGTCTTAATACTGAAAATTATGAAAGTGCTTAACCATTGAGCCACATCCCTGGCCCTTTTTATATTTTTATATAGGGACAGGGTCTTGTTGCTCAGGGCCTCATTAAATTGCTGAGGCTGGCTCTGAATTTGCAATCCTCCTGTCTCAGCCTCCTGAGCCACTGGGACTACAAGTGCGTGCTGAAGCGCCTGGCTAATATTTATATCCTTAATGGTTAAATCGAGCATATTTTAATAAACAGGTAAATCTTTTAGCACCTCAAAGAACTTGTTTTTCCAGAATGCCTAATTCTCCATGACTCCAGGTGGTTGAAATTTCACTATAAAACAAAAGGCTTACCAACTCTTGGATATGATGTATTATGAACGCCTTGAAGACTAGGACAGTCTTCTTTTAAACATACTCTCTTGTAGCCACCTTCTTCAATTTTAGTTGCACTTCCACAAGTTGGGCAGAACTTGTATCGACTGTGCCAGGCAAGGACAGACCTTGCTTGAGCTACAACCCCTTTCAAAAAGAAGCACCAAAAAAATGTAATCAATAAAAAATTGTAAACACACACACACACACACACACAACATTAATATATAGGTACAGTTTGTTTTTCCACATTATTTTATATGTATTATAGTTGAACATGATGGTGGGATTTGTTGTTACATATCTGTATATGCACACAATATAACAATATATTTATTTGGCCAATATTATTCTAGGTATAATGTTTTAAGCTATAATAAGCATAATTTTCTGAATATCCATGGGATATTCAGAAACAGTTTTAGTATTTTTTATTATGTTAGTATTTTTTCTGTTAATAGTTGTTTGGTGTTTGTTTTTATGTTATGTTAGTATGTTTTTTGTTAATAGTTTTTGTTTCTATGATGTATATTTTCTTTTGAAGTAAAAGATTTAACTTTCCAGATAACAAAAGAAAATTGCATTTAACTTTCAACAACAGCAACAAAACTACAAAGAAAGTTCCTAATGTCAGCTTGAATTATAAAGGAGATATTAGTAGAAACCTATCTCTACTCTCCTTCTTGGTGACTAAGTTAATGCTGGTCCATGACATGGTGGAACACATCCTATTTTCAACTGGAGACTCCTTATAGTATAAAACACATTATATTCACAACATTTGTGGTTAATGTTGTTTAAAGTATGTACACTTTGGCTATAACCTTTACACTGGGCACATCAAAAAGAATTAACATGGCCTGACTCAAACTATTACAATCGAGGCAATAAAACTAGAAACTACATTTCAAATAATTGATGAATTTCCTTTTTAAAATACCCTTAGTTTTTGGAAAAGGGAACACAAAGAAGTAACTGTGTTATACAGCAAGTTAGTAAGGTCCTGAGATTCCTTACTTGTAAAATAATAAAAAAAAAAGCAATTAGGTCATTTATAATTTTGAACTTAAAATTATACACATAGAAAAAAATTATACATATAGCTTCAAATAAGAGTTTTTTTCCCCTTTCTCTTTTTTAAAGTCAACCTTTTCAGTTTTAGATAGAGAATAAAACATACCACACTAGCCTTTAAGGAAGTATCCAAGCAGTCTCTAGAAGGTCTACCATATCATGTAAGGGAAGGTGAATATTAATAATTGATCCCTTTCTAACCTTTTATTAAATCTTTAGTATATCATAATTTGATTTCTGTTCCTTCCACCCAACTGATATTCCTCTGGTCAAATTCAACAATAGCTTCATAATATCAAAATCAAAGACATTTTAAAACAAATTGTCTTCATTTTACTCAAATTCTCATCAGGATTCAACATATTTGAGCTTACCCTTCTTGAAATATTCTTTCTTGGTTTCTAGGAGCATATTCTTTTGGTTTCTTCCTACCTTATAGCCACACTGGCTCTATCTCCTTTGATGACTCTTCTGCTTAAACCTGACCTCTAAATTTAGGGGGATTTAGGTATAATTCTGAAGCTTTTTTTCTTCCTTGATCTCAATCAGTAATCTCAGTAATTTCTTTGGACTTAAATATCATCTCTGTGTTGACAACTATCAAATACGCCTCTCCAGTACAGCCCTCTCTTCTGAGTTTCAGATTCCAATATCCTTCTCTAAAATTTAACATACATAAAAGTAAACTCTTGATTTATTTCCTCCAAGTCTGTCCTACCTTCCTTGCTCTACCTATCACCCATTATTATTAATCCATTTTGCTGTCGTGTATAACTAATTAGAATTAAAAAAAAGGAAAAAAAAAGCAGTGGCATTACTATATATCAAATTACTCCAGTTTCCTAGTAGTCATTCATGTTCTTTTTCTTATTATATACTCCATACTCAATCCATCAGCAAGTAGTACTGATCTTATTTCCAAAATACGTATCTTAAATGTAGCTTCTTTTCTACACCTCTACTGTTAGCTCTTCCTTCCTTGGTTCCTTGCTCTTCCTTTCTTTTTCAGTACTGAGGACTGAACCCAGGGGTACTGTATCACTGAACTATTTATCCCCAATCCTTTTAATTTTTTTGAGACAGGGTCTATTTTGAGTTGTGCAGAATTGTCTTCAAACTGTGATCTTCCGGTCTCAGCCTCCCAAGCTGCTACTATTAGCACTTTAATCTGTGCCCGAGTCAAGGGCACTTATAATAGTCTCAATCTACAGATAAAGCTATCAGTCCTACCTTCAGAATATCTCAAACACTCCCTTTCTCTCCATCTCTACTGCCACCATCTAATCTAAGCCATTGGTCAGATGTGTTTGTTATATTGCAAGCAATCTGTTATCTGGGCAATACTTAAAACAGGACTCCTAACTTCCACAGTTTAGCTATGTATCTACAATTCATGCTCTACAAACAAACTAGTATGAGGTTTTTCTTTTAAAAAAAAATAAAACACATAAAACGTCAGGTTACAACATTTAAATGGCAATTAGAATAAAATACTACTTCTTATCATGTCATAAAAAATCCCCAGCGACAGAAAATAATACAAAAGAAAAACAGTTGAGAACTCTGCCATCATGTTCAGTGTATAGCAGGGGCTGAAGAATTAAACACTGAAGAATGAGAAGCAACCATCAGGCATTAAGGTTAATTCGGAGGAAATATAACCAAGTGGTCTAGAGGGAAAACTTTGGAAGTTTCTAATGAAGATAGCTTAGTTTCACGCTTACTAGAAAAAATGTGCCTCCTGGAAATTGCAGATACAATTTAACTCCATCTGGTAATAACCTGGTTTTTCTAAAAAACAGATTATTACCAATGCAAGCAAGCAGTATTCATTTCTTACCAGCTTCTTTTTCTTTCAATTGTAGGAGAGCTGGCATTGGAGGATGAAGAAAATAACAATTTTCATGTCTTTGCTTAAACTCTTCAGCAGCAATAGGGTCTATACCTAGAGCAAACCAGGCAATCAATCCATCTTCCTCTTCTTTTGGGACTTCTCCATCATAATTTCGTAGCTTTTTTTTCATTTCAAGTTCTACTCCAAGGAAAATCAAGGTGATCTTCTCAGGCTGAGTCAAGTAATCCTTTATATCTGTATGGTTCAGCTGACAAAGTCTTACTTCTGGCTGTTGAAAACTTTCTTTATTGCCACCTAGAGTAACCAAGGGACTTAAATCTGAGAAAAGGATATAAACTGTGGCAGGATGGCTTTCTTTAGCTAGCAGCCAGTCAGAATTATTTCTTTTTTCACTTTTCCGGTCCAGTAGTGTTCTGCTAAAATAATTTTCACATTCTTCTGCTTCATTGGTTAGAAACCAAGGCTTTTTCCCACCTTTAGCATTAGCTAATAAGTTGGCTATATGTTTATAACCCCAAAATATAGCAATATCTAGTGCAGTTTGTCTTGATTTATTGACAGTTGATCTGTCACACCTACAAATGAAAAAAAAAATTGGAGAGGAAAAATAAAATAGAAAGTAAACATTTTTCTTGTAATTATTTCAATAAAATATTTCCAAATACACATTATAGCCTATCTTTAAGGATTTTATAGATTATTTCTTTCTTTCGGTATGCAGTTTTTTATTAGTAATGTTCAAAGAATCACTTAATAATTATAAGTAATGAAATAGTGAAGATAGTGGACATTTACAATTTCTGGATAATTACTTATAAAAAAGCATTAGTTTTATGTTCAATAAGGATACCAATATTCTAAAGTCATTGGTAGTCATAATGAGATTTGCATTTTTATTTGTGAAAAAAAGATTATGCATAAATTTGCTTTACTATTAAGAAGGAAGGAATTTATTTCAATAGTAAAAGTTACAGCTGGGGATGTTTTCTCAGAGGATGAAGGCTTGCTTGGCACATAAGAAGTGTGGTTTAATTCCCAGAACCAGGAAAAAAAAGAGGTTAACAGTTTTTAGTTAGAAATTATGCTCTATTCTTGAATAACAAACTGGTCAATGCATTATTTACTAGCCCAGTAACATAAGTTCAGCTACAAGAAAAGGAAATACGTAACATAGAAATTAAATCACAAGTCCTTTCAGGGGGTAGAACCTAAAAATGTTTACCCTTTCTCAAGCAGAAATTGAACAACATCTGGGTGACCATTCCTTGCAGCATACATTAAAGCAGTCCAGCCATTTTCAGAAGTTTCATTGAGTAGAGATGGAGAATGACTGAGTATTCCTGTTAACTTGGCAATATCTCCTTCAGCAGCTGAACTGAGAAATTCGGAAATTATTTCCTGTTTTGGACTTCTTTTTATAGAAGACATTTCTTCCTTAAAAATAAGGAAAGTAGGGGAAAATATCATTTGCAATTGGTTTTTGTAGTGATGTAGGAACATTATCTGAGTGCTAATGTTAGAATAATGTAATAGTTTTCAAAGCAATATATTCTTCAAAAGGTAATCAGTAGTCAACTGTCCTTACAGTACACAATTCAAAACTGTTATCAGTGAGAACTGTAATTCAATCCATATGTCCACAGGAAGGTATATAAAATAATGTATGAAGAGTTTTAGTAATACAAGAGACTTGGGAGAGGGGGCCAGTAACCTCACAAACAAGAGAAGGTATCTGAGGCAGATCAGAGATTTCATTACAGTGAGGGGACAAGAAAGACAGAATAAAAGCAGACAAAAATAAAAAGAGGTTTTTAGCAGATGACAAATAGTAGTGTCTGATTCTATGGTATCAGATATAAGTCTTTGCCCTCAAAGAAATTATGATCCTATAATTGTTCAAAAGCTTTCTACATTTCACATATAAGCAATTTACTGCTTTACCTTACATGATTAATTTTGCAATCCATTTGATAATGACTTTGTTCATGCTATGACATAGGCTAGATTAAGGTATTTTGTATTTGAATAGATAATTTATATAAATCATTACTATTATTTTGTTGTTAATTTTTCCCAGTATTAAGGGCTTAACCCAGGGGCACTTTACCACTAGGTTACATCTGCTGCCTTTTTTATTTTTTGAGATAGGGTCTAAGTTGCTGAGGCTGGCCTTGAACTTCTGATCACCTTGTCTCAGCCTCCCAAGTAGCTAGGACTACAGGAGTGCACCAATGTGCTTAGCATCTGATAACTATTCTTGAAATTACCATCTATGTCTAATTGCACTGCAGTATTATCTTTGTCACAAATTAGATGACCACAAATTTTTGAATCTATTATTGGACACAAGTTCTGTTAGTCACTCTGGTATTCTTGAATCCCTGAATCTTTTCAAATCATCAACTTTGCTTTTTCTTTCTGATGTTTCAAAGGAGGGCAAAAAAAGAGGATTTGCCCCATACTTCTTAATAAATGCTATCTAATCATGAATTACATGTGGTGGGACACATACCAAGATATTTTGTGTGTAAAATGGTTCATGTTTCAATTGTCTATCAAATTCTCAAAGCATTTTTAAGACATATTTTTTCTATGAAATGCTATTAAAAGATTTGGAACTATATGAAGCAATCAGGCACTTAGGAAAAAAAGAATAAAAGGTTATATATAACACATAACTTTTGAAAGCTGTTGTCTCTTAGATTCTCAGACATCAGTCTAGCTGATCAATTCTGTAGTGCAGTATGAAAAAGTTTAGGAAAAAATGAGCTAAAGGTGAACTTTCTTATTTTGTAACTGTATAAATCAGTTAAAACTGCTCACAGGAATGGAAACAAACTAATTATTTAAAGTCTATTTACAAATTAATGATATCAGAAAGCAAGTTTTTAATTTCTTTTGTTTTACCCTAGATTTACCCTCCAATACTTTCAATTGAAGTTTCCAAATGTGTTTAAAAGTATTATGAATAACAAAAGCTATAACTTTTCAACATTTTATTTTTGAGCACTGCTGAACAGACTCCTGTGTGGTCTCTATTCCAAATTGCCTTAAATTTATTTTCCATATATTTTTTTTTTTTTTTTCAGTTTCTTCAGTGAGGATTGGTTTTATTTCACTGTCTCCTGGTTCTAAGGTCATGGTCACTCCCTCATCCTCCTCACAGGCCACCAAGGGATTGCAAAATTGACCTCCAAAAATATAGTGTCATTCACTATCTCTAATGCAATGCTTATGCATACAGTATTCGCTGGAAAGAGAAAGTGAAAAAAATATACCCTGCTCCCCTTAACTTTCTCAACAGAAAAGTCATCTCGAAATAGTACCATTTCTCATTCCGGAGAAGCACAGAAAATCTGACATCCAGCTCTACTGCTTGATTTACCTTTTCATTTCTTATTGACACGTCCTGTAGAAGGTAAGGATTTAAAGGCAGGATAAAGTGCTGCCCTTGCATTCCAAGAAGAGCATGAACTATTCTGGGAGGTCATTTAAAAGAATCTTAGATTTAAATGGACTTACATTTTAATGAAACAAACATCCACGTTTACTAATGTGTAACCCGGGTCCCAAGGTCATATGGCTCCAGTGGGACAGAGCAAGACCTCATAGATGGCTCTATTACTGAAGTCCCCAACCATTATTTAACGAATTCCATTCCCTGGGCACTCAAAAGACAGTCAATTAACCAATTAGGCAAAACCCCAGCACGGCCTCTCCAAACGGAGATGGTTTATTTTCTTGCCACTACTGTGAGATTCCGTCTTAAATGTGAAATCACATCCAAAGTAGCGTTACTTTTACCCCATCTCAAAACTTGGGCTGGAAGCTCCATCAGCCACTGGGCCGTCTGCACCCCCCGCCTGGTTCCGGGCCCCGCAGCAGCCCGGGCCGGGGCTCTCGCGCAGGCGCCCGCCAACCCAGCGCAAGGTGCGCCACACGACCGAGCTGGGGACCCGGGGAACTGGTCACCGCCTCCAGAGGGGATCCTGGGGTCGACTAACTCGCCGCTGCTGCTACTAACCCACGGGTGACCTGAGTAGTGGCAATCAGGATACAGTAGAAGGACTAGGAAAATCCAGCTCTCACTTTCCCCAGCGCCGGAGGCAACCTTCCCGACTTCCGGCGGAGGTCCGGTGTGCTCGCGCGGCTTGGCGGGAGTTGTAGTTTAAAGGTCACTGCCGTGAGCTCAGCATGGGGGCGGGGCTCGGGATTGGAGGCGTGAGCGAACCGGGCTGAAGACTCCCCAGGTTGTCGGTCCTCTCTTACTGAGGTGTGGAGCGCCCAGAACGGGCTACCTGAGGACTGTAGGTCTGTAGAAACGGTTTTATTTTCCAGTATTTCCCAGCCAGCCCCCCAACATTCCCTCAGCCAGTACAGATCAATGCATTTGAGTTTTCAAAGCATTCTGCGTGTTATCTAAACCTGGAATGTTGGCCGAACCAAGTTACTTAGGTCTTGGCTGCTGTAAAATCTCAGTTCACCTCACGTGGAAAATGGTACGCTGTTCTAATGTCTACCGCATTCAGTAGCCCTCTAAAACGTATGTATCAAACTCACACAGTACCTACCTCCTTGGCTTGTAAGGTTTAACTAGAATATTGCATGTAAAGCTTTTCGGAAAGTAACAAGTATAGAACCGGCACCCATATTACAATTATTGTTGCTGTTATTTATGTATTTCATTTTCTGTGCTTTCACTGCTGCCGAACTACAAAATTTTTGTTAGTTTGAGATTACAAGCTAGGTACTCCCAAACCAGTGGTTGTTCTTTGGCAATCAGCCACAGCCATAGGGGTCTTTTAAGATTGTCATTGCTTCCTATCCGGATTTTACCCCGTGGAAGCTCCTTCCCAAAAAGCCGCACATACCCGCTGATAGGTTGTTTTCCTAACTGTTCTGTCCTTTCTCTGAGTAGTAATCTTTAATGATTTCAGTGATCAGATAGGAGATCAGAAATACTACTTAGTTATCTCACTGGAATACCCAATTTTGTATTCAATGTATTAGATAAATTACATAATGAACCTTCATGAATTAATAACCTAGCATCAACAATTATTAATATACAGTTCTTGCAGCCCTTTGGATTCTTTTGAAACAAATTCCAGACACTTTATTATTTCATTGATAAATACTTAAGGATAAACTTCTTGGAATTATTAATATGTATCTAAAGAATATAATTATAATATCATAAATAAAACTTAAATTTTTAACAAAAATTCTGTCATATGAATGATATTCAATATAACATTTACAATTATGTCATAAATTTTGTTTCCTGTTGTTTTATTCAAATCAGGACCGAAAGTAGGTCTCCACATTATATGTTATGTTTTTAAGATGTAGAATCCTTTCATTCCCACCCCCAGCTTATTTGTTGAATTAACATTGAATTATAGCATTTCCCATTTTCTGAAATTTTTAGGTTGTATTCCTATAGTGTCCTTTCTCCCTGTATTTCTTATAAGCCAGTAATTAAATTTACAGAATTCTTTAGATTTTGGCTTATTTCTTATTGCCTTACATTAATAGGTGTGCAATGTATGGTTGTGATTTTTTTTTTGTTCTGCTGTAATTTATCATTGGTTTCATATGTTGTCAGCCTGATAAAGTTTATGATAAACATCCAAAATTTTCTATCAGCTTTTGAGCCAATGGTTTTAATAGCCACTGATGACTATTTCAATAGGTGTTGCAAAATGGTGATGTTCTAATTAATTTGATCATTCACTCTACACTTAGGAAACAAAAATAGTTTATAATAAACAACTTTTTTTCTCATTAAGTATATGTATAGTTGGGAGGTAGGATAAGTAAGTGATTTTCTCCTTTGTTTTCTGAATAGTTCCCTAATATCCTTCAAGTTTGGAAGTTTATTTATGAACTCATGGTTGTTAATATTTTATGTATTTAGGTCATTGAAGATATTATTGTTTAAAAATATTCTTATAACATTTATTATTTTGATATGCAGATTATTTAACCAGTGGAACTTCCTCAAGTGGACCCAGAGTTCTTTCAACCAAACTCCTAGAGTGTTTGATAATTTACTTCCTTTCTGCAATGACAAAATGCATAAACTCATCTTGTAGATATTCTGTTCCAGGCCTAGTGTCAGCCATTCCTCTATGATTTTTGGTTCCTTTGGGTGAGAAATGGTATTTGGATACCATCCTGTGTATTGGGGTGCTTATTGCTGATGGATTATTGTGTACTTCTCTGCATGTAACCCTTGCCTAAGCAAATTGAACAGATACAGATCCTTTCCAATAGGCGTTTACATTCTAAGGGCAGTAATGGTGCCAACATAAGTATTAATGAAATATTGTGTTACTTTATTATTTTGTCATTTAGAAACTTAAAAGCTTTAACTTAAAAGTTGAAATTCTTTAGCTTGAGATACTGTCCTTAAATAGATCCAACACATATTTTCAGGCATATTTTTAAAAGAATTTCTTATAAACAGTCTCTGATATGGTCAAACTGACTTGTACATTGACTTGGAACATCTCATGCTTTCCTGGATTGCTGCTTATGCTTATGCTACTTTTCCTAACTTAGGTGCTTTCCTTTATTCAAATCCTACTGACTTCTCAAAGCCCAGCTCAAGTACCTTTTCCGTTAGATTATCTAGATCATTTCTGTTCATTGTGTTATCAGTTTCCCACCAATATTTCATTGCTCTTACCATCTTAATAGATGCTGCCCATTTTTCCAACTGCTATACCTGTAATTTTTCTTTCTTTTTTTGACTTGAGGGCTTTTCCTTGTCACCAGATCACACTTCTCTTCTGCTCAGCTGATCAACAAAATCAGATAATTAATATTGCTTGAGAGAAATCCTTACTAATGACTGACATGATGTGAATTGGTATATAAATAACTCAGTCTTTTTCACTTTCTCTCTCAAAGGAACAAGTTCTACACTGTTTTTTGATTTCCCTGGTGTGATTAGATTCTCTTCATCTACAGTACATTAATAACCCAACTCTCTTTTGGCTGTATCCTATTGCCTGTTTCCCTACCATTCCTCCCCTTCCTTATTCCTCTACCTTTGTTTCCTCCTATATGACCAATTATGTGTAAATCCTTGTCTCAGGATCTGCTTCTGGGGGACATAAACTAAGATAAGGATTTTTTTCCCTCTTTTCAATTCATAACCATCATTATGCAGTAGTTAGCCTCCCCTGCATGTCTTGGGAGAATCATTAACCATCATTAAGTAAATAAGTCCCTATTATCAGTCATTCTGGAACACATTATATTCTGTTGCCTTTATAAGAACAGTGTAATTGCAAATCAATGCTTGAAATTTGGATTGATTGCCCTTGAAACGAATAATTTGTAGTTCAAACTTGAAAGCAACTTTTTCTTTTTTTTTTCCCTCTGCCCATAGAATCACTTCACAAAATGGCTTGTCCTTCACTATTACCACCCTCTAAAGACCACATGGACTTCTGGAAATTTACTTGGAACCTTTTTTGAGTGTACCGCAAATGAATGTTGATATAACATATAGATTATTTTTTAAGACAGATACATGTCAACTGTATTCTACAAATTTAGTGAAAATACATCTGGTCATTTTTCTGCCAATCAGATGGAAATCTGATTTTATGAGCAATATATTAATAAATAAAAATTTATGTAGGTAATTTTATTTTGTATTAAACTTATGGATCTGGAGATGTGCCTTACTCTTTCCATACTTACTAACACTTCTAGTAATTTTGCCTTTTTCTTTTGATAGGCTATAATTTATTTCAATATAGAGAGCCTGATTTTTAAAAACCTTATATAATAATAGTTTATTTCCTTCCACATATAAGGCACCTGATAAAAGTTGGTGGAGGATAATGATGCCATATCTGGGAACTGTGCTTAAAATCTATACCATTTAGAGTTGAATTCAATAAAAGTGAGGGTATCTTGAACTAACACACTCTTTCTCTCTCTCTCTCTCTCTTTCCATATATATATATATATATCTCAATACACCAAATTGTTTCTAGTCTTAGGACTTTTGTTCCACTTATTTCCTCCTTTTGAAATATTCTTCCTCTAGATGGATGTGATAATATACTCCTATAATCCCAGAAACGTGGGATGCTGAGGAATGAGGATCTCAAGTTTCAAGCCAGCTTAGGCAACCTAGTTTGGCAGGCTCAAAAATAAAGGATGGGGATGTAGCTCAGAAGTAGAGTGCCCTAGGTTCAATCTTCAATAATGGAAAACAACGAGAGCAGCAACAACAACAATGGAAGCATAGAAATATGCTTCCTCCAAATTTTCTAATTATAGGCTTCTTCTTGCCATTCATATGACAGCTCATCAGTTATCTCTTTAGGGAGTTTCCTGATCACAGTAGCTCTTCTACTGATATATTCTTATTTTTGGCATTCTTGTTTTTGTATTTATTGGTTTTGATCTTTATTTATTGTGTTTTTCTATTAGAATGCAAACTGATCGATAATAAGATTCTTATTTTTCTTGTTTATTGCTGTTTCTAGAAGACCTAGATTTTTTATTTGGCATATCACAAATATATGGTGAATATTTGCTAATTTTGAACAAATGGTTGTTTTCATATTAAGTCAAATATATTTTTTGACATTGCTACCATATCTTGAATAACATTAAGCAGGAAGTCATCTAACTTTCTGTGGTTAAGTTTATGGAATTTAGGTAGGGAAGTAAATTTGGTTGCTCTCCTCAAGGAACTCCTTCTCTAATGAATTAAAATAGGCGATAAACAATACTTGTATTATAGTAAAGATGAAATGGAGAGCCCATTGGGAGCATAATGGATAAAGTGCTTATCCATGTCTTTTTCTTTTTTCTTGACTCTTCTGGGAAGAGCATATTGTTCATGTTCCTTGCAGCCGGACATGGCCCTGTGACTGTTTCTAGCCCAAATACTATGAACAGAACTGACTGTGTTTTGGCTAATGCACTTCAGGATAGTATATAGCCCTCCAGATAGCTGTTACCCCATTCTGGTGATCTGGAAGCACATGTTAAGATAAAAGCACAGGAGATAGGACTGGCATTCACCCTTGGGAGCACACTGACATGGAAAGCTGCCAGATCT